ACAGCTACACATTGCCTTTGGCTTCAGTTCCTCCCACACCATCACCATTTCTCTCTCAGCATTATTGCTACATATTGAAGAAGCTGAGGAATGAAAAGGGAAAAAGACTCAACCAATGACAAAGAAAATCTCTCAGCACCGTAGAGCCAAAAGGCCTGCTAATCTCTTGTGATAGCAACACTGAGAACACAACCATCCTCTAGCCCAATTTATTCCTTTAAGAATTAGAAACATATATCCAATGGAATATTACTCTACCATCAAAAAGTATGAGATCTTGCCATTTGCAACAACATGGATGGAGCTAGAGAGTATTATAATAAGTGCAATGAGTCATTCAGAGAAAGACACATGTCATTTGATTTCACTCATATGGAGAATTTAAGAAACAGAATAAATGAACATGGGCATGTGGGGGAGGGGAAGCAAACCAAGAAACACACTCTTAACTATAGAGAACAAATAGATGGTTACTGGAGGGGAGGTGGGCAGGGGGATGGTTGAAATAGGTGAGGGGGATTAAGGAGTGCACCTGCATGAGCATCAGGTGTTGTGTGTAAATGGTGAATCACTAAATTGTACACCTGAAACTAATATTGCACTGTATGTTAACTAGCTGGAATTTAAATAAAAGCTTGAAGGGAAAAAAGGGGAAGGGAATGAGAAACTTCCTGCACAGCAAAGGAAACCATCTATAAAATGAAAAGGCAACCTACTAAATGGGAAGAAATAACTGCAAATCATATATCTGACAAAGAATGTCTAAAATATATCAAGAACTGGGGCACCTGGGTGGCTCAGTGAAGTCAGCTGACTTTTGATTTCGGCTCAGGTTGTGAGATAGAGCCCCACATCAGTCTCCTTGGTCAGTGGGGAGTCTGCTTGAGGATTCTCTCTCTGCCCTCTGCCCCTTCCCCTGCTTGCTCACTCTCTCTCTCTCTCTCTCTCAAGAAAAATAATAATAAAAATAAAATATATGAAAGACTCACATAAATCAATAGCAAAACACAATCTGATTTAAAAATGGATAAAAGATCTGAATAGACATTTTTCCAAAGAGGACATACAGGTAAGCCAATAGACACATGAAAAGATGCTCAACATTACTAATCATGAGGGAAATACAAATCAAAACCATGAAATATCACCTCACCCATGTTAGAAAGACTTTTTTAAAAAAGCTTATTTTAGAGAGAGTGAGTGCCTTTATGGTGAGGAGGGGCAGAGGGAGAGAGAATCTCAAGCAGACTCTCCACTGACCACAGAGCCCAACACGGGGCTCAATCTCATGAGCTGAGCTGAAATCAAGAGTTGGTCACTTAACCGACTGAGCCATTCAGATGCCCCAAAATAGCTCTTATAAAAAAGACCAGAGGGGCACCTGGGTGGTTCAGTAGGTTAAGCATCTGCCTTCAGCTCTGGTAATGATCTCAGGGTCCTGGGATAGAGCCCCATCTCAGGCTCCTGGCTCAGGCAGCAGTTGCTTCTCCCTCTCCCGTCTGCCTCTCTCCCGCACTTGTGCTCTCTCTCTCACTCATTCTCTCTCTCAAATAAATAAACTCTTTAAGAAAAAGACCAGAAATAACAAGTGTTATGTGGAGAAACAGGAACCCTTGTGCACTGTGGCTGGGAACGTAAATTGATGCAGCCACTACAGAAAACAATAAGAGGGTTCCTAAAAATATTAAAAATAGAAATACATCATGATTCAGCAATTTCATTTCTGGGTATTTATCCAAAGAAAATGAACACTAACTCAAAAAGATATTTGGGGGTACACGGGTGGTTCAGTCCATTAAGTGTCCCTGATTTTGGCTAAGGTCATGATGTCAGGGTTGTGAGATCCTGCCTCCTGCCCTGCTGCAAGCTCCATGCTGGGCATAAAGCTTTCTTAATATTCTTGGTCTCTCCTTTTCCTTCTGCCCATCCCCTTGTGTATGCTCTCTCTCAAAAATAAATAATAAACATTTGGGGCATGTGGGTGGCTCAGCAGTTGGGCATCTGCCTTTGGCTCAGGGTGTGATCCCAGATCCTGGGTCCTGGGATGGAGACCCACATCAGGCTCCCTGCAAGGAGCCTGCTTCTTCCTCTGCCTGGTCTCTGCCTCTCTCTCTGTGTCGCACAGGAATGAATGAATGGAATCTTTAAAAATAAATAAATATAAAAATTTAAAAAATTTTAAAAAGACTTCTACATTCTTGTGTCTATTAGAGCATTATTTATAGTAGTCAAGGATATGAAAACAACCTAAGTGTCCATCAGTAGTTGAATGAAAAAATTATGACATATACTTTTTTATATAATTATAATATGATAATATATAATTTAGCCATAAAAAGGATAAAATTTTGTCATTTGCCACAACATAGGTGAATCTTGAGGGCATTATGCTAAATGACATAAGTCAGAGAAAAACAAATACCATATGATCTCTCTTACATGGGGAATCTTAAAAAAAAAAATCCAGAGGGAATTCCTATGCATTTTTGGCATATTCTGTGCCAGTTATGAAAATGAGCCCTCTAAAATGGGAGACAAGAATGCTCAGCAAATTCACATGAAGCATGAATCTCACTTATTAGTCTAACCTAATGAGAGTAATCAGGTATTATATCAATCAGCAATATTTACTCAATGTCTCCTCAAATGTCAGCAGTAACAGGAAAGCAATACTATAAGCTACCTATTTTGGACACTTAGATATCCAACAAATACTTTTCATTGATTGATTATTATACAAATAGGAAGCTGATTACAAAAAAAAATCACCCACCAGTTCATCTGCAAACTGGGATTATGTGAAATGAGGCTCTTTCACAGTTGGTGTGCTCTTCTTTTAATCGCTTTTGTCAGGCTTGTGCTGAAATGAGCTTACATTTCTTAGTATGCACCAATTAATGCAATGGAGAACTGGCCAGGAAGTGTGCTGAGGGGAGAAGAGGAATTGAATTTGGGAATAGCATTTGTACAGCACTTGTCAGACAAAGTCCTTGTGCGTTGATGTATGGGCTATTTGGGAAGTCCTTCTCATGATACTGTTCCTTCTTTTGCCAACTTGACAATATCCAAGGGCAGAGGCAGCTGGGTTTTCACCCATGCAGAAAACTGTTTGGTTCACATTGTCATGGCACTTTGATTCCAACATTCAAATAAGGCTTTCATACGTTCTTTTTTTTTTTAAAGCAGTTCTCCTAACAGGCAAATGAAAGCCGTGACATCACACATACACACAAAATGAGAAACAGAGGCTTTCAGAGGCTACCTGTCCATAGCCACATAGCTAAACATGATTATGCTGACTCATAAACCCAAGTCTAAAGGTGTGGGGCAAAGGACATAACCACTGGGGCCTCAAAGAGGAGCCCTCTCATCCAATTCTATTCTAATAATCCTTTTGTTCTTGATTGACTTGAGGATATCACCCAATTGATCACCTAAGACAGTCAAGGGACACATTAGACACACAGACTGTAATAATTTTTCAGACAATGACTAGGGAAGTTAGTTGACCAAAGGATAGGAGAAGAAAAAAATCCATCAATATTGCATTATGATAAAGACTAGATATTTACTTGTGGGCTCTCTCCTTCTACCTCTATCAAAGTGCCAACTTATAATGCCAGCAGTAGCATATTTTATCTAATAAAGAAAATACTGTCTTATGACTTGAAGTATAAACTGAGGCTAAGAAATGATTTGGCCTATCATTCTTAAAGCAGACATATACATACATGGTAAATGTAACAGATATACCTGGTTTTATTTCACCCTCTAGGGCAAATGCCCTGATCCCTTTACTTCTAACTTATCATGTGAACATGAACGAGTAATTAAACTACTCTAGGTCTGAAATGTTTCACTCATAAAACACAGTGACGGGATTTCAAGTCTGAAGCAGCCCGGGAGAATGGAAAGAATTTTGGATACAGCCATGGTCAGACTAAATCTGAGACCCAGCATTTTGGTCAGTGTCTGGCTGTGGATCTAAACTTCACCTCTTTCCTCATTTAGGTAAATGGAGATCCTCTCCCAGGGTTTGCCAAAAAAAAAAAAAAAAAAAAAATACACCTAAAATTAGCCAGTACAGTGCCTGACCCACAGGAGTGCTCAATAAAGAAGAGTTGATGATAGTCACTCATTCATTCATCCCACAAACATTCACCGAAGCTCTGCTCCTGAAGGAGACAGGAGTCAACAAAATAGGCAACACTCCCCGCCTCACAGCTGGCGCTGTGGCAGCTCAGGAAGCCCTAACTGTACTACGGAATTAGGCGCCTTATGCTGCAGAAAGCTCTCAAGTCCATTTTCAGCCTGTCTATGCAATCCAGACCAGGTCACGCCCCTGGGGCCCCATCCCAGGCTGCCCAGGTCCTCACCCACTTCAGGAGAAGACATGCAACCGAGCAAGACCTCTGTCGTCACTCCAGGACAGTACACAGCGCAGAAGGCAGAGCTATGCCTGGGCCTCACCCATACCTCCCCTCTTTGCCCCTTCCCCCTTCCTTGGCCTGACCTGTTCCCCAGCCTGCACCAGAGCCTTCCAGAAACCTCCGTGATGGCCAAGTTTGCTGAGAGGCACCACCCCCTACTTCCCACCAGAGGTCGCCCTCCCACACGAGCCCAAGCAAACAGAGCCTGGCTCTGCCTTCTCGGCAGCAGTGACATTATTTTCTTTCTCTATTTTTATCTATTAAAAAGATTTCTTCACAGCCATAACTTAGATCTCTACACTAAAATGGAGCAACAGGAAGATATAATGGTGCATTTCATTTATGAATGACCTATAATAAATTACTCTGAAGTGTCCCGAGTGCCAGAAGACAGAACGCTTTGTCTGCCCATGGACTGCATTTCACATACTTTAATTTAGCTGACACATAAAACTCATTTGACATTTCGCAGGTATTTGTGGGGGGCGGGGGGGTGGGGGGAGGCTTGTGCGGGCCCCAGGCCCAGGCGGGGCAGGGTGGAGAGCAGAGGCAGCGGGCAGGGCCAAGGATATCTGGTTCTTGTTCAGGGTTAAGGTATGGAGCCTGGGTAACCCTGGCAACACGAGGTCGTTCCCCAGCAGATTGTTGTCCAGGATGAGTTCCTCCAGGCTCCCGAACGCGCTCAGTCCTTCCAGTGACCTGCAATGACAAAGGCAACAGGAAAAATGATCCTGCACTAAATCAGGGAGGCCATTATGAGCCGAAATAAATATTTTAACCTTCCCTTTCAGGACTGGGAATAGTTTGGGCTTGGTGCCTGTCAGCAAAGTGAATGACAAGAATTAGTGGCGGGAGCCCGGTGGGGGCGGCGGGGGAAGGGGCCGCTGGCACTCCCCGCATCCTTCACGCGTTGCCAACATGAAGGATGAGGGTCACTTAGTGAGTAGCCAGGATCCAAAACAAAGGGCTTCAGATACGGCCTGCAGGATAAATTTGTCAATGTCTTGTGCCTTCAGGCACCCAGCCTCGGCTGACCCTAACCTCCATTCCCAAGATAAATAACTCTGTCACAGTTCACCTTCATTCCCTGGACACAAATTTAAGTTGTCATCCATCATTCCTGCCCAGAAATATCATACCCTCTTACAATAATAAATATAACTTCAAGTATCATTTCTTAGCGGTTCTCCTCTGCACAGTCCAGGAAAAGGCGAGGCAGCCTTCCTTTCTCCCCCTTTGCTGCCGTTGACTTCTCCCCCCCCCACACACACACACACTCTGCTTTTTTCTTTTCTTTTTTTTTTTTTTTCTTTACTAATCACTTAATTTGCGTCTGCCCAGTGTCCCTGTGGCTGCCCCCAAAGGCCAGGCATCTGCAGGAGCACATGTTCACTCCAGTCGGGAGAGGGCTGCTTCTTTCTCTTTCCTGATTTCTTTTTCTTTTCTGTTTTTGTTTTGGGGGGGGGGCGTGGCTTCAGGAAGGAGTTGGGGGGGTGGTATTTTCTGTTTCAAGGTTTCCTGGCATGAAGTTAGGGTTTTAATTTATGGAAAGTGGATTTCTCACTTTATTTTTGAAAGAAGCGTGGAATGCAGCAATGTAGATGTCAAGGCAGTAAATAATCAAGCATCTGAAAGAATTAAGTACCCGGCTCAGGGAAGAAGAAGAAGAAGAAAAAAAAAAAAGTATCAGGAAGGGGAAAATAGCCTTGTTTTTACACTTAGCTGAAGTTAACTCTTAAGGTTATGGTCTCGGGAGTGTTGGGATGGGGGGTAGAGGCGGCAAGGGGCCGTTGTGTGCATGTGCTGCCCCCCCCCCAGCCCGGCTCACAGACGTTAATTAAAGAAAGCCGCCCGGTGGAGGGACACACACAGACACACACACTCCCAGAGCCTTCACCTGCCAGCCCCCAGAGCCCTGCTGAGCTTGCACGGGCTGACAGCTGAGCTACAACGTTGACCAGAGGGCGGACTCGCATGGGATCTCCTGGCTACTCTATAAAATGTGTCGAATCAGGGAGATGTTGTCTACACTACTTATTCATTTACTGATGGCACGTACATTACAGACCCGCCTGCTCGTGTGTGCAGGGCCTGCACGTCTGATGTGACTGTGAACTTGAGCACCAAGGCCTTCTCCGGACAACTGCACACATGGCCCTTGTGGGACCCTCTGCCAAGCAGACCCCCAAACAGGGAGTCGATACCTGCGAGGTGTACTGTGCACTGCAAGTCATTAAAGCCCTAGGCTCCCTCGGCATGTCCTATTCCGGCCCGAGCCGCCCTGACCCAGGGCCCAGCACCCAGACCACCCCTACCCCTCAGGCCAGCACCACCGCAGGCAGGCGAATACCACAGTTTGGCCGAGGGGTCAGTGGGGTCATTGTGTTTCATTTCTTCCTCCTCTCTCTTCTTCCTCATGGTTCAGGGAAGAACAACACAAGTTACACACTGGGAAGCAGGACTCGGGGGACTTGGTCTCAGCTCTGCCATTTACCTGGAGTGTGAATTTGGCCATGTCAATAACCCATGTGACCCCCCCTTGCTCTGTGCTGCTTCCAGCTCACGGGATCCTAGGGAATATAGACAAAAGAAGCCTAACATGTCACTAGCAAATGCTGGTTCCTTTCTTTTCCTTCCTCCTTGCATTCATTGATTTTTCTGGTAGCTGTGACCTTAGAGGGTGTGTTGGGGGTCTGGGGTGGGGGGTGGTATGTGTTCTGGACGCAGGGGGTGGACAGATGAGCAAATATGCCAAGGTGTACAAGTCTGACTTCTTCAGGGAAACCTCGAGCTTTCCTGAAGTCCCTTCCTCCGTGGAGGTTAATGAGTGATGATCCCAAAGTCCTTTTCAGGATGAGGCCCTCTTTGCCACAAGGGGAGTGGAGGCCACCTCCCTTCAGGGCGCCTTATGGATGGCTAATAAGCCCTTTGTGCACAAACATCAGCTGGGCTCCGGTCAAAGGCAGCATCCAAATGTGCATTGTTCCCGAGTTATGTTATGCAAATATAATACTCTTATCATGAGAATCAGCAAATGGTTGGCAACTGGCAAGCAAAAGAAAGCTCCCTTCCAGGAGTGCCGGGGTGGAGGGGGCTAGGCAAAAGACAAAATGACATAGCATGAAGAGGGACAAAGTGGAGACCACCAGAGGGAGTGCCCACAGAGCCTCCTTTCTCTGGGGCAGCCTCTGGGGCAGAGCTCAATTCCCCGGTGAGACAGAAGAGTAGGGGAAGTTGGGGCTCAAATACCCCCGTCCACCCTCCCACCCCCGTCATCTGTCTGGTTTTAAGATTCTTTTTGCCATGTAATGTTATTAGCTGCTCAGTTAAAAGGGAATCGTGTTATGTGGGGGGTTGCTAATTAATAAATCCCTGTCTTCGTGTCATCAGTGCCGTGTGCACTTGGTGATTTAATCAGCTAAATTCAGAGCTGAGGGACTGAGGACAGGAGACCGAGAACGTACTGAAGGGTAAAACTGGAGAAGACAGCATTTCTGGGGCTTGGCTGGCACGTGGAGGCCAAGGAACCCACACCTGGGGGATGCTTTCTTTTTTGCTTTTTAAAAACTTGACTTCTGTTGTTATTGCAGCTGCTGTTTTCGTGGAAGGAGAAGGGGAAAGAAATTGTGGGCATCGACCTTCGCGTCCACGGCCCTCTACGCAAGAGGCCTGCCCGAAGAGGCGGGTAAATAAAATGACAAGGCAACCAAGGCCCTAAGAGCCACACAGGTCTATGCTGTTTAATGGGACGGCTACAAGCAAAAGGTGACGGGACTGCCATCTCTCGGCTCTCACCTGGCGTGCGGACAGCAAAATGCACCCCAGACCCAAGAGCCCGGGTGCAGGGGTGCCTGTCACGCCAGGCGATGCCTCCCCAGGCCGGTTTGCAGTCTGCGGGTGTTTGAGGGGTGCGCTGGGAAGGCGAGGCACACAGGTCTGCCGGGGTCAGGGGCTGGAGGTTCGCCTCCACACGGGGAGCTGGGGACAGGCCTGCTGAGCCCAGGAGAGAGACGCCCAGGGCAGGCGGGGACACCAGGCCCCGTGTGCGGCCTGGCCTACCTGCGGCAGGTGCTTTGCTCCGGAAACCCAATCAGCCCCTCGGAAGCGCTCGGCAGGCTGCCTGCCTCCTGCTTCCCCAGCAGGAGAGCTGCCGTGACCTCACCCACAGGTGCCATCTCAGTTACCTGCTGGCGGGGCGCTGGCTGGGCTCCCCCAGGAGCCGCAGAGGCCTCTGGGAGAGTCCCAGTGCCTTTTCCAAAGTCATATCAAAATGACAAAACATCACAACGCATTCAGCTCTAGCGGATTCAAACAGAGAGAACTTTTAAGTTTCCACTGTAATTAACCCTATCCTCGTTAAGATAATTATGATCAAGCTTCCTGTCACAGTTAATATCCCGGCATCATTGCCCGTGGCTCACACTCTGCCCTCATTAGCTTATAAAAACAGCGGCACTAACCAGGCGGCCGCAGCCCTTTCCCAGTTAGGCCAATGGTTGTGGGCTGCTAAGGACGGGCCTTGGGCGGGGCAGCAGGCCCCACAAAGGGGTGGCTGCTCGGACCCCAATCTCTGCTGCTCCTGGGTGGCCTGACGCTCAGCGGCCTTCACTCTATCCCCAAAAGTTAGCCGCATGTCAGAGTGGGGAAGGAGAAGAGCCAGGACCAATGCACGGCTGGTAGCTTTGGGACAGGGGAGCTACTAATCCATAGCAACCCCTTCCTGTCCCTTACCCTGCAAAAGATCTGGCCAGAAAAACCACCAGAGGACACCTCCCGAACCCTCCATTTAAGAACTGCCAACCCTATTTCTGAGGTATAAGCTGTGGTAAAAGCTGGATCCCTCTTTCCTCAGTTCTCAGACTATACGGAGGACGATGCTCCTGCCTTGCATGACACAGGCAAGGAATGGGGCCACGGTTAACCACAGACCCCAAGGAAGTAACGTCTCTCTCTGTGGAACCATAGCTGGCCTCACACCCAGAACCAGAAGTCGGGATGTTCTCAAACCAAAGAAGAAAATCAGATCTGAACTAAGATCTTCACCTACCCCCTCTATCTATCCAGATATCCAGGTGCATATTTTTAACCGATAAAATGGGGGAGGCTATGGAAATTCTAGAGGACCTAGCCTGTCTGTCTGATGTTCACCACCCTGGCTAGTCCTGTTGGCCTGCAAGGGTTGGCCAGTGTCTGCTCTCGAACAGTCTTTTGGGATGACATCCGTCTGCCCGGCCCCCTAACAAAAAGGGATCTCAATGTAACCCTCCATAAATACCTGGGAAGTTGTCAAATGCACAGTGAGGGCTCAATAGCCCTTTGTCAACTGACTACTGCTCAGCCCAGAGCCTAAGAGCTGCTCAGAGAAAAGCTGACAGGGAAATCTCAAGGGCGGGGCAAAGAGCAGGCCTCAGGGCAGCTGGCCAGAGGCTAGGAGGGCAATCCCTACATTCCCATTCCTTCAGAGGCCAGGATGCCTCCCTCTATTTACCCTGGGGCCAATGTCTACGTACAGGCAGAGGGGGCAATCAGTGAGTCTGAATCTATACACCAGAGCTTCTTTACCACTTGGAAATCATCATGGCTCTGAGTACCCTGAATGCTCCTCCTGTTACCTGCCCTCCCCCCTTTGAATCCCCAGACCTTTCCATAATCCAGCAACTAAGTGGTTAATGCCCCACACAGCTTGGCGCCTCTCAGGA